GATCCATCTTAAAGTGCTGAGATCGATCATGTTGGATCGATCGAACTTTGATATGATATCGATCGAAGATGTTGAATTCCACCTTTTTCTTTCTTTTGCTTCTACTTGGCTCCTTTCTTTGATTTATCCTAGAATTGCTTCATTTCTGCTCTTATTTAGCTGAGTTAGCTTATTTTCGGGATAAGTGCCCGAAAATGAAAATAATACGAAATCAATCTAAAACGGTAAAGTAAGATAGATAAAGGTACTAGAATACTTAAGCTTAAGGGGTTTAAATACGCACTTTTCAGCGCTCATCACACCCCCAAACTTAAATATTGCTAGTCCTTAGCAATGAACTAGAAAGTAAACGAATGAAATGAACAACTATACAAGTATGAATCTAGAAAACAATAAATGGATAACGCCACTTTCGTAGGGAACACGATTGCACTTAGCATATGCAACAAGCCTTTTAAACCCCTAGGTTACCCCTAGTGGACGAGTGAAGTCTCGTGAGGGTTTCCAAAAATGGTACCCACAAACATAAAGCTCATTCTTTCAAAAGAGGCACCAATATTGCAAACAAGCATTGGGAGAAAACTACCTCAAGTATGCAATTTTTCAAACATTTCTAAGTAATCTCCTAAAATCTCAACATCAAGCAAGCAAGTATGGTCCTCCACACATCAAGAAGATGATCATGCAAATCAAAACAACTCTAGAATCCTTTTTGAGTGGACCGGCATCAAATGTGTTACTATCTTAGCCAACTAAAGAATTAATCACATCCTTACCATCAAACTAGCACACAAATCTAGTACCGATCATCAAGACAAAAAGTGGATCTTTTATTAAAGCTTTATTGTTCTAGATGCGCTTATTATTTTCACTCGATTTTTTTTTTTAAGGATCAAAGATCGAAGCATGGTGCAATGTGTTGATCTATTAAGCTTTCTAGTGATTCATGAGATCGAGCGTTAGGTCAATGACTCCCAAACCAGACGGCCTTAGGGTACTAGGTGTTCAAACACCCCTACGGACTTACAAGCTCAAATTAATTAGGCAACAAATCAAGACAACCTCTATCTAATCATTTCCCACTTCTCACCATTTGGGAGAAGTTCTCACTTTTTTTTTATTGCTTTTGCAACTTAATTTTTTTTTTTATTATTATTATTTTTTAATCATATTCAATTATTAACCTAGAGTTTGGGCCTTCCACCTTTCGGCGCTAGAAATTCAGTACTTGATAAGGCTAGAATCCCGGCTACTTAGTGAAAAGGGATTGTTATCCACCTTTATCAAGAATGAAAGCTTTCAATGCACTACTAGCTCAATTGGGATATAACTAATTCAATAATTAACAAAGCATGTACCCCACAAATGAATGCTAGTGTGTGCCTGTGCTAGTGTAGAATACTAAAGTGAATCTCAAAACAATCACAAAATTATGATGATGTGGACCACAAATGCAAGCAAGATATCAATCTTTCAAAAAATTTACTCCTAAATGGCATCCACAAGGCATACAAGAAGTATTGGATTCTCAAGTCAAGCAATTTTTAAATTTTAAGCAATATAGTCCTCAAAAGATCAAAATCATAGCTAGATATGGACCAATCATACAAAATCTCTCAAGTACACAAGTTATGCTCAAAATTTTGAAGTTAAAAGCAAACACTGTAAAATACACCATTACTCCCAAACTTAAACGGCACAATGTCCTCAATGTGCAAAGAGAACAAAAGGAAAGAGTATATCGGTGCAATTAAGGTAAAGAATAATCGGGACTGAAGTATCCAAATTGGGTGGTATGGCCCCTCCAAACTTGGGATTAACTGTAGTCCTGAAATTTGGCACTCGGATAAACTCATTAGATAACAAAAATGGATAATTAGTGCATAGTGGACATGCAAGTGTAAATGAAATAAAGCAGTGAGAGAGGTATAAGGGTGGTCCTGAAAATCGGGTAGCACTCTCTCACTGAAATCACTGTGATGTACCTGATGGAGTCAAACATACAGAGATAAGAATATAATACATTACATCCATAACAAAAGCATATATAAGGAAAATAAAGTACAGAGTACATCAAAAGATCTCATTAATGTGGTAGCTATTTTTTTACTACTGCCATATTCATAATTATAGTCATTTCTACCACCACAACCATGTCTATTACCACGTTCACGAAATGAGGCAATATATATTTCAGGGATCGGTGTCGATCCAGTTGGACGGGACTAGTGGTTTTTTAACAAAAGCTCGTTAGTAAACATGATATCAGCTCTAAATATTTTTTAAATCTACACTCTCGATATTGTTGTTATAAAAATACATTCGATGCGTGAAATATGGTGTATGTTTTTTCCAGCAAAAGTTCATCAGTAATTAATGGTATCACCACATAATTTTAGTGTAAAGTTGATTTTAAATAAGGCATAATTATATTCAGTTACAGTTTTAAAATCTTACAGTCGCAATTGTTGCCAATCAGCCCAAGCTTTTGGGAGAATAACTATTTTTTGATGATCATATCTTTCTTTCAAGTTTTTCCACAACTCAATGGATCCTTTTCAGTGAGATATTAATTTTTCAGCTCTTGACTAATATGACGACGAAGGAAAATCATGACTTCGCCTTATCTTGTAAAGATGCATCATTATCTTCTTGAATGGCATTACCAAGCCCCATGGCATCAAGATGGATCTGTGCATCCAGGATACAAGGTAAATAATATTTTCCCGAATTGTCCAGGGCCACAAATTCCAACTTTGTCAAGTTTAACATTTTTAATAATAATTAGATATAACAACAATATAAAAACATAATTTAGAATAGCATCATAAACATGAATAATATAAAAACCATAATTTATGTGAAGATATCAAAATGATAAAACCATATATAGAATAAATAGAATAAGGGCAGTTAAAACATAAACCAGCAATACTAGTTATAAATAATAAATAAGGGCGGTTAACTCATAAACAAACCGTACCAGATATAAATGATAAATGTAATAAGGGCAGTTAAGTCATAAACCAGTCATACCAGATAAATTGTTAAACAATAAACAATAAAGGTGGTAGAACCTACCCTTATAAATATACACATATCTTATTTAAATATTGAATGATATTAATAAAAGAAGTGCTTACCCTTTAGAGTGAGAAGTAAATTTATTTCAGTAAAGTAAACAAACCCAACAATCTATCAAAACCAATATCACAAGTAAGATATATGAGTTGAGATAGAAAGAGAGAGAGTGAGAGCTTCTCTTTCAAGTCTCAGTTGGTTAGAGACTTGTGTTGATAACGTTTAGTAATTTTAAAAGAAAATATAGAATATAAAATTATATATACAATATAGAGAGAAGAATGTAGAGAGGGGGAGAGAGATCTTATTCTTTTCTCTTAGATCCAAGTACATCCATATAGCAACGAATAATCTGTATTTATAGTCAAACTTTGCATTAGTCAACATCTTTAATGCACCATTAACAAGGGCATTTGTCACTTACATACGGCACACACATTTACATCCCAATATACTTACATAATACACACACATTCACATCCCAATTCTTATGGTCCCCACATGATAGATATATAACAACCAAAATATAATTCAAGATCAAAAGTTCTATCTCTATCATCTAGCACCTATAAATATTAGTCTTCATTTTCAACGCTATATTAAATAGACTACAACTCCCAACTATAAATGCAAGACTCAAGGTTGACAAAATTAAATTAAACACAACTTATTAAGCACAAAAAAAATACAAAGAATTATAAATATAAATAGTTGGAAAGTCATGTCTTCTATTGCAATGCACTTTTCAAGACAACTCTTTGATCTTCCAAATAGCCACCTAAGTATCTACATGGCGTTGACAAGGTTGCCATGTTGGCACTTCATTAACATATATATAGTGAGATTATAATGAGTTTGAATTTCTAAACCTTAAATCATAAACCTACATGATCTTTCGGTACAACACAATACAGAGGGAAGGGGAACAAGTAGTTTCTTTACAAAAGGGCAAAGCATGATGAAGAGAGAAAACGAGTAGAAAGAGAGTTTAGGGAGATAGTATGCATGCATCCCTTTCACTTTTCGAAGTGGTAAAGGTATTTTAGGATTTTTGTGTCCGAAATACCACGTCACATGACTAACTAATAGTTATTTTGTAATGACTAGCAACTATGCACATGACCAACGAACTGTTATTTTTCTAATGACTAGGTAATGGGAACAAATCTAGGGTTTTCTTGTTCAATTTGCACCCTTGAAATTGAAACAAGAAAGCACAATGTGCAAGGAATGTTTTGTCTCACCTTGAAGCTAGGCCAACATAAAAGTTTGTATATCCCTGGGTTGGTGGCCCGCTTTCTCATTTGTTAGGACCCAAAGTGGCTTTAAGGCTGTCAATTAAGTATGGTTTTTCCCAGTTTATATAAGATTCTGATCACCGGACGTGACAGGTGAATGCTGTATCCATCAGTTATCACCCATCACAGCTGACTATGGAGATCCGTACGTGTCTACTTACATATTACTATGTCATATCAATATGTCATATCTCAACATGGATATGTGTCTCCTTGTTTTTATATTATAATACTATATTCTACTGTATAAAAACTGTGGGGAATAAAAGAAGAAGAGAAGTTCGAATTTGAGTGTAATTCTTTACCTATTTTTTGTTCTCTTCATTTTCAAAGAACTACCATTTATATAAATTTCTGAATATTATTTTCAGAGATTTAAACCAAACAAATTTTAAGTGATGAAAAGATGAAACAATACATACATATATCTAGACTAATGTGATAAGCTTCATTCATGATTTTAAGTATCATATCTCAGCTAACAAATAGTTTTCAGCTTAGGCTGAAACCCATGTAATTATTTACATTATATATAATTGATTAACTTTCCAAAAACAAAAATATACATATATATATATATATATATATATATATAGAGAGAGAGAGAGAGAGAGAGAGAGAGAGAGCCAACTGGTCCGCATTATTTCAAGGAACTAGTGAACCCAAATGGACACACACAAATATGTTGCACTATGAATATTACAAAACAAATGCACATCATTTCAGAATAGTATATCACTCAAATTTTTGAAATTCAACATGAATGCAATAAAAATTGAAAAATATCCACTCTCTTCTTACAAAAACACTAAAATAGGGTAATGCATAACAATAAAGATGGGTAAAGTTCTTGAGAGGGCCTTCTTGTTTGGTTGTGAGACTTCATTGACCTTAACTTTATATATGCTTGTTATGCATAGGTATATAAAGAATCTCTTATTCACAATGTGCCATTGTTTTAGTAGAATCCATTAGACTTTTGAGTGCCCTCTCCTGCAAATGACTGGTGATCCAACTTTGCTTGCTTGTTACTTTCCAGCTTAAGCCCAAAGTGAATGTGAGGAAAGTGTGCCCACTGCAACACAGCAAGTGTCTTGATCAGGTATTCAGTAACAACAATTCTACAGTGTAAATTTCCCCGGAAAAAAAATAAATAAATAAATAAAAATTAAAAAATCTACAGTGTCTTGTCACACATCAAGTGATTCAAGTGCAACATACTATAGATCTTTTTTCTTTTTCTTCTTAGGAAAAGAAGTACACATTATACCAGCTTACCTTTTAACAAAAAAAAAAAAAACGTACACATTATACCTTGTTTACATTTTTCTTTTTCTTTTTCTTTTTCTTCTGAGGAAAAGAAGAACATGGATATATACATGCTATGTCAATGATGGTAAATGATGTTTAAACAATATAGTCTTGAGTGCAGGCGTGACATATATGTCAATCAATTAAATTTTATCATGAAAATTTATGCAAATGTGATTACATAGCATTTGAATAAGTATGTGATTTCATGTGACAACATGTGTTTGACTTGGCCCTTAGTTATAACTACACATCAAGATTCATTATTTTTTCCCCCTGATAAATACATATGATTCAATTAGTTGGTCATACCATGTCAAAAAAATAAAAAAAATAAATCAAATGGCATGACAAAAAAAACTGTAATGTATTTTCCCATTCATTAGCACTTAAGGGGAGGAACTTGGTGAATAATTTTGGCTAATCAGGAAGAAAAAAAGACCTCAACAAAAACCCACAAATCAAACTTTAGGGAAGCCGACATGTTTGTATACTCTATACACGAAACTGGTGTAAAAAAAAAAAGGGGTATTGTCCAGTGTTGGCACTATGATTCGGTATTATTTTGTACAAAAAGGGCTTCTTGCAAACTCGAATTTGTATTGTATATATTTTGTTAGACCTTTATTTCTGCACAACAATTGATTTTTATATATGTCTTCTACTTCTCATAAAATCTCGTACAGATGTTTAAAGATGATCAAACTTCAATAGGAAGTCCAATAAAATAGATTTAAGATGGAAGGTAGTGAAATTGATGTTTCTGTTGAAGAGATATTTCATGAGTGCAAGAAAAGTAATCAACTATGAAGTTTTCTTAATTTCAAAAGAAATGAAACTTTTAACCATAAACGATACAAGCTTGAACCTATTGAATTTAATAGTGATCACGGAGGAAGAATATATGATATTGTCAGAGATATATAGGGAGTAAATTAGGATTCTACCCATAGTTATTTAGTGGCAAATTTAGAGTAAATTAAGTTATTAACTTAGTTATGTAATCTTTAGAATGTATAGTATGACGTTCTATATAATCACATAATCACTAAGGTTAATATCAATGAGATATTGAATAATTCTAGTTATTTATTGTCTCAAACAAAATTATATGGTGTTAGATCAATGTGGTCATTTCATAAATACACACACACACACACACATATATATATATATATTGGTAAATTGAATGAATTGTATAAATGAGCCAAGATATGTATATAGAGCCACAAGGGAAACAAAAGCCAAAGGCAAACAAGGCAAGAGCCAAACCAGTTAGCATATGAAACTCACAGAAACAAAATAAGAACAAAACAAGCTAAACAGATGCAAGAGGCTTCAACTTATATGAGAGCTAAAGAGGATTAATGTAAAGGTTTTATCTTGCAACATCACGTTGGTTATGTTTCCGAAATGTAACCAATTTTTGCCTTATGGTTGCTCTTCTGAGCATGTTGTTCATGGCCTATGGTTGTTTATTTAGAGCAGTTTGTTCCTACTGCTGCTTAGGTTGGTTGTGGAGGTTTGTATATGCTATTGCCTAAGTTGGTTGTGAATTTGTACTGTTTTCTTTCCACTTTGTATTGTTGTTTCTCCCCTTAGGTGGGGATCCGTGTACATTCTTTCCTTTCTTCAATAAAGCTTACCCTTTAACTAAAAAAAATAAAAAATTAATTTCTTAGTTAAACAGTCATTAATTGTTATGTGTCTCTAGTTATATGTTTAGTATTACAACTACATTTATGATCAACAATTTTTAGATTATGAAAATAGTGTTATAGAATGCGATTGTCGTGAGAGAATTCATAAAAAAGAACCAGAAGGATTAAGGATATAATTTAATTTAGCTATAAGAGGTGAGCAAAGGAAGATCTATGAAAGACATGGTCTTAATTATCACAAGAGTATTTGTTACTTACATTTTTTGCAGCAGTGCTAAAAGCTTCCCGGTGGCTAATATCTGGATTACTAGCCTTTATCCTTTGAATCTCATCCCTGTAGAAAAATTTGAGTAACATTTAAAATAGCTTACCGCTTCTAATAATTAACTTCATATTCAGTTGGATGACTTATATAAATGAGTTGCTTCTATAGAGCTTAAAAATGTTGACTGAGATGATATATATATATATATATATATATATATATATATATATATATATATATATAAATTCTCAAGCATATATATACTGCATTAGGACTTTCACTATTATTTATCGAATATTTGAAGTCCTAAGAAAACTGAAAAAGGTTATACCAGTTCATTAATAATTGACTTTGATAGGATACATAAAAGTGTTTTATGTTTTGTTTAATTTGCAAGAATGATTTATCTAAAGTAAATTCCTAAAACAACACGATGAAGCTTCTGGCTACAGATTTTTCTAATTGAGAAATGTCCAAAGTGATTTTCATCATATGAAGTGCAATACTGTCTTAAAAAAATATCTATAGCTACTTGTTTCTTCTTTTGTGCGGGATGCTGCAATGCATGTATGAGATGTCTGGAGTAAAAAAATTCATAGCGTCCACAAATTAAACCAAATGAAACAACTCAAAATTAAATATCTTACTTAATAAATCTGTTATACGCGGAAGGAACGCGTTGTCTTTTCTCTGGGGCTGCATAGTTCATGAAAAGAAAGAAAAATTTCTCATCAAAAAGAGCATATATATATACCATATGAAATTCCAGGAAAAAAAAAAATTCGGTAAATGAAATTCCAGATTTAAATTATATGTAGGCATACAAATTTGCATATATTTATGACCATGTGCATAGAGATAGATGATTAGGTATGGGTCTATATGTCTTCAAAAATCAGTAGATTGACTGATAAATAATGCACATAGCACAGTTTTTATCTAATGGTCTATAATATATTTGCTTGTAGTTTTGGAGACAACAAATGGAAGTATTTTTGTACATTGCTGAGTGGTGACAGAATGGATAGTTCATTTAAAAATTAAAGCAAAAACACTCACAAAGTGCCAAGCCATTATAGAATGACAGTAGAGACCTGTATAAAGAAGGTACTGACCTACTTTTCTAGATGTCATATTTATGAGGAGTGATCTTGATCTATTCAATTGTAAAAAGACTTGACATATGTTTCAGGACACCATTGTTATTGATGAGTTGGGATAGGAAATGTAAGGTCACCATCATAATGGGTCATGCATGCATGAAGATAGTCAATCAAGTGTTCCTTAATCAATAGCAGATTGTACTACTTGAAATCCATAATATATAATAAGTGGTCTTGATTGAGATGGTACTGCCTTAATTAAATTTGAACGGCTATATATGTGGAGACAATTTTTATGTGTTTCTCTATCCATCTTAAATGATGTTAAGTACTAGTTTGTTGTGCATTTATACCATCAGTGTTGGCCTAACATTGCAGTATAGAGTAATGATATACGAGTCGAGAAAATCACAAACTATACAACCAGAATGAAGCTCAACAAACAATTGGGAGCCCACATTCTTAAGGGGTCCACCGGTCCACGTGGTGTCAACTCGTAATCTACTTTTCTTTTGTTGACCAGGGCTTATTCTTCGGCCTTTTTTCTCACAAATAATCTCATTTTCCTCAAGTAAATGGTAATGGTGGACTTGTAGTACCTCAAAAAGTTATATTCAAATGAAAGGGAGAGAGAGACTCACGGCGTACAGGAGGCATCTTAGGTTGTTCTTGGTCTGCAGAGTCGAATATAGCAAACTTGTTGCATTTGGAAGATGACCCACAGTCCTTATTTACATCTTCAAGGCTGGACTGTTGTTTCTGCAAATTTTCTCAAAGCAACATAAAGCATATATCATCTAACAGCCCTTGAAATTGTCTCTGATTGATAACTAATTAGTCAAGAAAATTGTAGCTTGATCCATTCCAACCCCCCTTATAGGGGTTAGAAGGATCTTCACTTCAAATGTTCCAATTGGAAAGATTTCCGGAGTCATTGATTATGTAATGGTAAAAGCTCGAACTGCCAAATGTGGGGTTACTCAAATGGTAAGACGTTACCACAGACTATGGCTCAATGATATTTTCTCTACCTTTCAAAGTGGGCGGGTTTGAGTCCCCTTGAGGACAAATGGTTGTCCTAGTTTCTTGCAAAGGTAAGTATAAAAAAATATAAAATAAAAATACTCATATGTTAAGCATGTCAATAGTCACTTTATATTGTTAACAAATATTCCTTATAAAGCATGTAAGGAATTTCAGAGATTCCCTGAAACAGGTTTTGTGCAAGATTATGTTCCTTGTATCTATATTAATTGTGTTTGTTGAATATGTATGTAATTTTCTTGGGACTTCAAAAGGAGCAAAAACTGGAGACCTAAAACAGTTGAGTACCTGGAGATCTTGAAATGGAAGAGTCGGAAGCAGGGCTCCCATATTGACAGACAGCAAATTCGCGCAATGCCCACATCTCACAGTCACAATGGCGAGCGTATTGGTGCATGGAACACTAACCTGTTCATAGATTCAACATTCATTCAAGAATCAAATTAAATACTGTTTGAGTTTTGTGCTACTATCCTCTTTCTCTCTCTCTCTCTCTCTCACACACACACACACACAACATACTCAAATCTTTTTGTGTTTTTCTTTTAATGAACCCAGGTAGGTTCAAAATATATACATATATAAATGCAAATATCTCATATTATATTGTTGTGCTCATGCTAAAAAACAATAAGAAGAAAGCATAAAGCATATGATTTTAAGTGAAAAAAAAAAAAAAAAAAGAAAAAAAAAAAAAAAGAAAAAAGGGGCCAATATGCTAGCTAACCATTTGGATAAGGTTTAGGGTTATGATTGAAGTTGGATCATTACCTAACTACTACTATCTCTCATCAGAGTATAAACATAACCTTGCTATTTTGGTAGGTTAACTGGACAAAAATCATAGATTGGTATATTAACTGGACAGAAATCAGCAAAAGGACATTCAATGATTGGTATGAGTAGCATTCTTGTTGTTACAACATAAATTTGAAGGACAAAAACTGTAGGGGTAAAGGAGAATATATGCAAACTAAATGGAAAAAAATTGTGTATGTGTGTGTGTGAAGAAAAATAAGAAGTTTAATCTGTCATCAGTAGATTATTTATATGTTTATATGTGATATATATATATATATATATATATAATTTTGTAGTTTGTATTTTGTTTGTTGAGATAGAAGAGATAGAGATAGGGATGGAATTAAAGTGTAATTTTCACAGTGTAAAAACCGAGGCCACTTCAAATCTTGGGCATTGTCTGAGAGCTCACATGGGTAATAACTATATGGGACTTCCCTAACGTTAAAAGGGCTTTGCAATATCTCTTTCGTTTCAGTGCTTCTGACTTTTCTGTGCCTGACACAGCAAGCAATTGTAGGAGAGAGAAAGAGAGAGATATCTAAAGAGAGAGAAAGAGAGAGAAGAAAACGACATGACTGGAACAAAAATCACAAAGGCAATAACACAGATGGCCATGAAATGAATAAAGATAGAGAGAAGTGAAATCATGAAGTGGATTTGCTGCTAGCTCTCTCTTTATGCAGTCTGTAAAATCACATCAATTTTCGAGTATATATATATATATATCTAATATACACACACACATAAAGATGAACAGCAAATAGTCTCAGAAGGGTTGTTCAAAAGTGGTAATGTTATGATGAAAGGAACTTGAATTAGAAGAAAAAGCTAGCATTTGGTATGCCCATGATTTTTCTGTGTCATCAGCTGATTTCTCTTCTTTTGTTCTTTCAGAAGAAAAACAAAAAAAACAACAAAAATGCACAGATGATCATATAGAAGAAAGAAATTTAAATAGTGAAAGATCAACTAGCCAACAGTGTCTTATATGATGCTTGTTCAGTGGCATATAATTGCTGTGAATAGTAAGTCCACACAAACACGCACACACAGAGTTGTGCATTCAGAGGACAAATTGTGCAAATATAAATCTAAAAGAAGACAAAACCAAAGTTCAATAATTGTTTTTACAGAAATAAATGTAAAACAAATAAATGATAACAGAATTTAAGTAGTAGATCAGTAAGATAAGACACGAAACTGGTTATACTTCAGCAAAGTTCATTGGAAAATGCTTCATCTTGACTTTTAACATGACCTGAAGAGAACCCTAAACACACACACACAACACACACAAACACACATTTAGCTTCAAATCCTCCATTTGCAGAAGCGAGCAAGACAAATGGGATTGATCTGTGGTTTAATTTGCACATGCTAGTTTTGTGGATCGTCAAGGAATAATTGAGATAGATCTATCTACCTTTGTTCAGGTTGTAACTTAAGAACAACTGATAGTTACTTTACAAAGAACTTAAATTCTGATCACACCCATATGGATCATACTAGATCATATTGGAAGTTTTCTGAATCGACCCAGTTATGAATTCACATAAAATATGACATAAAAGAAAGAATTTCAAGCCAATTCAAGAGAATGAAAATTTGTAAAATCGACGACGGTCCAAATTAAAAGGGTTTTTATGAAAATTGATCATTTTATAGACTTCATTTTTAAAATTAATCATTCCATGTCAGACACTTGCATTAATTTATCTTCCATTAATTCCATATGATCACTAACTTACTAATAATTAATATACTTTTCCCTTAATTCCATGATCTGTATATGTGATCAGAATTACTAGAAGAGTACATATATATATATATAAAGAACAGTTAGTAATAGTAAGTATACCGCTAAAACGGTGTTGCAGAAGTTGCAGTGGACGTAACAAACACGCTCTGATGCTATTTCCAGCGACATTTCAGCAATATATCAGCACCAAGTATAGATCACCGGATCCCAAAAAAAAAATTATAAATGAATAAACACTCTTTTATCAAAAGAAGGTGAAACCAAGAAAGGAATTGTGCAAATATGAATAGAAAGACAAAGAAAACAAGACAAGCGATGGGATAAATACAGGAGAGAGAGAGAGAGATTAGAAATATGAAAGATGATGAAGATGGGACTAGTCTGGTGGGGATAGGGGATAGGGGTAGGGGAAGGGAGTGAAGTGGGAGTACGGATATAGTGGTATTTGTGATGTGAGTGGAGCAAAAGGTGGTTTCCGGGGAAAGGTGGAATTGTGGATTTGTGTGTGTGTGTGTGTGTGTGTGTGTGTGTGTGTGTGTGAGTGAGAGAGAGAGAGAGAGGTGGTGTTATGATTGAGGGAATGAGTGGGTGGGAGTCACTCGTTTCTTACCATGCTGGCTTTCTGTAGCGGACGAGGGGGGCGAGACCACATATTAATGTTTGGAATGTTATATAAATATATCTATAGAGAGAGAGGGGGAGGGAGGGTAAATAATACGTATGCATCACGGTCATTTTATTTTATTAACGTTTTAAACTTTTGAAAATTCTTCGTGGGTGCAAAAAATTTGTAGACGAGCAATGGTCAATAAAATTAATGCAACACCACCCAAAGTAAGCTAAGTACCCAAAGTTTACCCAAAGAAAAATTTCATGATCTTATTGGGGTCTTTGCCACTAGTTACAATTTTTGAGTCCTCCTAGTACTCTTTTCTTGTGCGTGAAGTTCTTCCATTCTACACAATTTTGTTGTTTAATGGGTTTTCATAACCTTATGTAGAATCCTTTGATTCACAAGACTTGAGATTCCCTTCACCTATGGAATTGATAATTTTCAGTGTTTAGCTAGGGCTTTTTATATTTGATTGAATTGGGACTCTACGTGTGGTGGATCTACATTACGCTTTGCCCCTTGCCTGTTGAGTTCGTACATCTATTGTCTTGCTTCTCCACTTATCAGGTCGCCTTGATTAATAGAAAAATTTTCCTCCACACTTTGCCTCCAATTCTCTTCAAATTTGGGTAATGGTCCCACTTTGAAGGGGATTTAATTTTTGCTCATAGAGTGGACAGTCGTGGCTGATTTTGAAGGCTGTATTCGTGATCCTTGGGATTCTTCTAACGCTGTTTTATTTGTTGCAATGGTGCAACTCTCTATTCTTCAACTGTACGCCTTATCGCTCTACTTCTTCAATTCGAAACTTCATTTTAACTTGCACTAATCTCTATTTTTTCGCAATTCCTTTTCAAGTCAATCCCTCTGACTCTACTTTTTAATTTATTTATCATTTGATTCTTTGTTTAATAGTAAGTGCACAAAATTTGCTATTTTATACTCAATAATAAATGATTAATTAATTATTTTTTATTAGATAAATGTTCTTATCCCTACTTTTCATATTTTATAGGGACTGATTTAGGAATAAGAAGAAAAGAGACAAAAATAGCAAAAATGTGAGATTACACTATTAGTCAAAGTCAAATTCAAAATTAGTTTTTTCATCAAATCAGTAAAGATCAAGCCAAATTGGAAAGCACATCAAGTCAAAGATATCAAACCAAATTGGAAAGCAAATTAATTCGAAATTGGAAAGAAGTAAGATTTTTGGAAGATTTTATTTTATTTTATTTTCATTTCTATAATTAGAATTATCTTCTCCCAATCGTTCCACTCTAAACTCTATAAATAGGGACATATGTAGAGGAGGTTGATGTACATTGTTAGTGAAATAAAATAATAAAAGTTAGAAAATTCTTGTCTTGAATTCCTTTCTTATAATTATTTTTATGAAAAGCTGTTTCATTTTTTTTGTAAGTATGCTAGCTTAAACACTCATTCTCAAGGGAGTAATAAAGTCACCATGATTGAAATATAAATAGTTGTATCCTTCATATTGTGTAAGTTTTTCTCTTTAAAATATTATTTTACTCTTCTATTTTGTGTTCTTATTTTGATAAAAAAAAAAATTAGAAAGAGGATTCTTCATGTTTGTCAATTATTGATAATTCAGAGAATGCCTATTTCTATTTACCAAAGATATATCAGATTAAGTAAAAATATGTTCTCTCATATATATGCAAGTATTAATTAATGCTATAATTAATTTTCCTTCATCTTTCTAAGTTGTACTTGAACTGATGAAATGATTTGCTTACAGGAGAAAAATTTACATAAAAAGAAATATGCAAATTTATTTATATTAAGCCATGGTGGTGGATTCTTTCATTTGAGATTTTTCTTATTATTTGATCAGAAATTATTTAGTCTTATTTATTTATTTATTTTTAGTTCATTATTCAAAAATCATCAAATTGTTTTAAAATTCTTTCTCTATCCCTTTTAATTGATATTTTGAATCTATGTTCGGAATCTAATTTGAGAGTGGTTTGACCCTGCTTATCACTATATCATTTTTAGTTTAGCCTTTGTAGGTTTTTCTTTGTTTTTGCATGAAGTGTAGAGAAGTAATGACAATATCGATAAATCTACATTCGTCATTTAACCTTGAGTGAGGGGAGCCATGGGTTTAAGGGCTCCAAAACCATTTCTGATAACCATGGGGTTGATAAGAAATATGATTCCATCTTTAAGGTTGAGGAATTTTTTGTTCTAGATGTTCGCATAAAATGATGTGAGTATATATTTATCAATAGTAAATTACTATTCGCAATAGTACGAATCCTTGTAAGATAGAACTATATTGAGGATATCGAACCTCAAGGACTGTTGTGGTTTATCGAATCTTCGATTAATTACTATTTTAATTTAAAAGGAAGATTTGATTTGTTTTGTTGTGATGCAATTTAATAACATAAACAGAAAATAAACAAAGTAAGGGAATTGAGATCAAGAGAAGAAATACTTAAGGATTAATTTCACTACGAACCCTATGGTCAATTGTCATAACCTTGGGATTTCATCAATTATGTATAATACGGAATTAAACTCAATAACATTCGTTTAATTCAATTTAAAGAAAGATGTTTCATGAATTTCAGTTAATAATAACCTATCTTTAGTTGGCACGAATTATCTACCTACCTACTTCTAACTAATGTTGTAGTATAACTTGTCTTCCCTAGGTATAAATTATGAAAACATTCATTTATAAAAAACGTTTGAACACCATTTCATAATCTCTATTCTTATTATCCGAGAAGCCCTTAGCCACGCCAATCTCATACACTAAGAATATGTTGAGTATAATTTAAGAATAATTAAATTTAAGACAAGGTATTAATCATTTCAAAACTACATACTTCACTAAAACCCAATTGATCTAAATCAGTTGCACAAAATCATGCAATCAAATACATAAATAATGAAAATCCCAAAGTAAAGAACAATCAAACCATAGTAATCGAATTCGAATTACATTAATGCCCTAAGATGGAGTTTAGCTACTCATACAGAGAAAATATATCTTTATTGATGTTGTAAAAGCCATCTCCATGGACCACCAACAACTCCTTTGGATCTTCTTTTCAAAATCCTAAAAGCCGCCTCGAGATCTAAAAGTTACCAGCGAGAGAGAGGTAGATAGTGATCTAAAAGTGTCTTCTCCTTTTCTTTTATAATGGAGAACAATTCCTAATCCCCTTTGGATATGTTTTAAAGCTTTTGGTAACAATTAGACCCACAAGGAAATAAAGAGGGGTGATTTTACATAATTCCCGCATGTATTTTTAACCTCTAGGATGTTTCGGCTCGAGCACAAAACTTTAAACTCGAGCAGAATCTGTCAACACTTTGTTATGAAGTTCTAACACAATTTTTACATATTTGGATTACAAATCTACAAATTGTTATTAGAGATAAAAACATCAGGCTTCGAGTCTTATTTTCATAGCTGCTGAGTTTTCAGTGAAAAGTTATGCCCAAAATACTAAAGCAGGTCCAGAATTTTCATCACTACTCGAGCCCTAAAGGGTTGTGCTCAAGCCTTTTGACTTATGCTCGAGCTCTGGGAGCAAAATTTGTCTGAAACGTCTTTTCATTCAACACTTAGCCATTTTGGGATAATTTTTTCATGGTGCTCGATCACCTTAACCAGGTGTTCGAGCCTTGGGACTTCAGTTCGTGCTTTTTGGCAAAAGCTTGAGCTTTTTGACTTTGGCTTGAAGTCTGGAAACATGGAACTTCGGAAGCGTCTTTTCATATTTTGAGGCATATTCTGCTCGAGCTCCTTTGCAAAAACTCGAGCACCTTGAGTTTCGGCTCAAGCAGAAAGATTTCTGCTTGAGCTTTTTGGCTTTGGTTGATTTCCTTGCTTCAGTTGACTTTATACTCGAGCCTAGGAACTTTTGCTCGAGCATTGGCACTTGAACTTCTCCAAAATTACCATTTTGACTCCAAACTTGCTTCAGATGATTGGCAACGACTCTGTAAGTTTTGATATTAGTCTTTTCATCATAAAATCCTAGTTTTAACTATTTCTTTGGGAAAGTACATACAAACATGAAATAAACATAAATCAATCTAAAAATGGATAGAAGTATCACTTTAGGTCTTAACATATGCACATTTAAGGGCTTAAATATGTAATATTCAGTGATCATTACATCCCCAAACTTACATATTGCTAGTCCCTTAGCAATACAGAACTAAAAAGTTGCTTTTGTGGGAATCACGGTTGCATTTAGCTTATGCAACAAGCCTTTAAACCCCTAGGTTACCCTAGTAGATGAGTTATAGTCTCGTAATGATTTCCAGTGATGGTACCCATAAATATCTCAAATCAGTGCCTTATTTGCACAACAAGCTCATTCAAACCTATATCTATCATAATGTTCCAACAATGCATCAACCAATCAATAAGTATAACGAACTATATCAATTAGGAAAAAATTTGAACTCTCAATATCATATCAATAACTATGGTCCCTACATGTTAGTTTAATCACATATTTAACAATATTAATCCCCAAAATCCTTTTTAGAAATGAACCTACAGTTTTAAACATGTGGTTTACTATCCAACTCATATCTATTTCATGATATCCCTTAATTTACAAATAAACCTTTCAAATCTCGATCCCCAAGATATTTTTCTTATTTTCATTCATCACTCAATTTTTTAAAATAGGATACTTGTGCAATGCTCGGGTCCCTTAAGCTCTCTAAATCACTTGTATAATGAGTTTTTCAGCCAATGACTCTCAAATCAATTGGTTTGAGGGTATTAGGTGTTAAAACACCCCTAAGGACTTAATTGCTCAAGCAATCTAGGCTACAGACCCAAACTTGACCTTTTTGTTTGTTTCTTTTTTTTTTCTTTTTTTTTTTCTTTTTTTTTTCTCTTTCACTTCTTGGTGAAAAAACTCTTTTATTCTTTATTGCAA